TAAGCAATGGAGAAGGACAGAAACGAGGAACTGGTTTGCCTTCATCATCATCTTTCTCGAGCGAATAGCTTCCAATCACACTTTCTGTTGAAGAAGTCGAACTGCAATGAATCACTTCACAGGATGTTCCTTCATTCTGCATTATCTCCATTACTGCTCGACAATACTTTCGAGATACATATTCTGTTTCTCCAATCAATAGAACATGACATCCAGATTCCAATCCTAGTCGAACTCGATCATACACATCCTTCCAGCATTCCTTGTCTAAAGCAGCTTCACTGAAAGTAATATCCGCTTTGAATACTGGATTTGTTTTCAAATCTTCATTATATGCGATTTGTAAAGCTCGATCCAATGCTTTGCTTTCACCGATTTTCTCTTTTTCTATCAGTGTTTCCATCATCCATTTTGTACGACTACAATCTCGAAGTGTGTAATCCTTCCCTTTATCAATCTCTCTTCCAGACACATTCCTTCGATTATCAGCTCGATCATGAATCTCACACACTCTTCTTCCAATTTCTGCATTTCCTCCAAACATCGCCGTTATGATGTCTAATCTTTCCTCTCTATCAATCATTGGGAAGTATTTCTGTTTCGTTGAATCGTGAGTGACAAAACGGAAACAATCGCGAATTGCAGAAGACAGATTGCTTCGCTTGTATGAGCTTCCAGCAGGATTTTGAGTGGCAATAATGCGGAAATCTCGATGCATTACACGCTCTTCACTTCCATCCTTGCCTTCATGGAGAATCTTCTTGCCAAACAAATACGATAACACACTCTGAACCACAGAAGGAGGAGCCAAAGACATTTCATCCATCAATAGCAGTTTGCCATGAATGAATGCATCTGTGAAAGCTCCATCCTGGAATCTGATCTTCTCTGTATCATCGTTCGTAATCACCATATCTCCAAGCAATTCCTCAGTTGTGGACGAAGGACTGAAGTTGTATCTCACAAAGGGAACGAGAGAACGTCGACAGTATTGCTCCACTGTGAATGTTTTGCCTGACGAAGTCACTCCCTCAATTACCACTGGAATGTTGTATTGAATCACATCTTCCACGATTTGATTTCGAATTCGGGTTTGATTTGTTTCTCTGATAAACGGAGGATCTTCTTTCATTGTTTCCACATATCGATAGGCTTTCGATTCGATATACTCCCAATCCTCTCTGTCAGAGCGTATTGCCATGATTAATTGAACGTATTCCTCTGTGGAATGGAAAATGAGCACATCGGATCTACATAATACGGTGATAACCTTATTCTCATCAAGGGGAGACAAAATGCCAATCGTAGCATTCTTCACTCCAGAAATGCAGTGGAAATAGATTGTTTCAGGAATGATATTATAAGTTTGATCTTCATCATGATTGATAAGTGGAAGAATGAATGTTTTTCCCTCTCTCTGCAGATGTGGCTTTCCCCTGAAATTCATTCTATCTCCCACATGAACAAAATCACATCCATCAGTCAAAGCAGATTGAAGGGAATGAAAACTCTTGGCAAAAGGTTGGTTATAATTCACTTTTAAGGAATCGAAAATCTCAGAAACATATTTATGTGTTTTGACTTCGTAAACCAAAATCGATTCCTCATTTCCATAACTTCTCTTGCCTCTGTGCTCCATGAATTCAAAATCATTATCATCAAAATCGTTTAGCCCTATATTGTCATAGCAAATGAATTCTAATACCTATCGAAACAATATATTTAGTCTTTATCATTCGTTGATTTTCTGTCAGTGGTTCGTTCAAGACACTACTTATTTCTTTGTTGTTGATAAATATCAGGAATTTCCTATTACTTTCACTTATTGTCATACTACAATTATCTGTAATATCATCGATATATTTTTGATTTGATGCCTCCTCTATATTTTATTTTTTATCATTAATCATACCCAAAATGACTCGAAATTCTTTCAATGCTTTATAATTATTGTTCAACATTCTCATCAGTTCACTAATATCCTCTCTTTTGATTATATAATCTTGGAATTACAAATCGCATCAATAGCATACAGGAAATTGATATACTGGTGAATTGTAAGTCTTGTGAACGAAAATCGTAAACTATTTCGATTGTTGTCTCGCTAATTTTGTCTACTTCTTATTCCTTTTTATCGGAATTACCAGATATTATCAGGGTTTCTAAAAACGAGAATCTTCGATCCCTTAATAGTACTTCCTTCCATTTTATTAGATTCATCGGTAGTTTCTCCCCTGAAAATTATGCTACTACAACGAGTATACACTGGCTATGAAAAGAAATGCTTCCGAGGATCCTCGGATTTTGATAAAAAGTTGGAGTCAAAGCCTTGGCTAATTCAATTGATCTTAGTGAAAAATGCTTAACCGACAGTTTGTTTTTCTACTCAATGAACAATACTATCCAAAATAACAGGAACAACAAGTAGAGAAATATGGGGCATCTCCATTCTAGCAATATCAGCTGCATCTGCTATTCTGCCACTCTCATCTAGAATATGGAAATTATCCTTATCCTCCTCTGAGAGCTTGCTCTAAAGGTAACTTCTGATGAATGAAGCAACGTTAATAAACAATGTTATCTCATCCCTCACCTTATAGATGGTTTTCCCCATAATACTGTGTTCAAAACTGACTTCTTCTGCAGCATACAAAATTAGTATTGTCAAATTCACTTTTATGAATGGTTCCTCTTTCTTTTGGTCTTGCTGAAGTTTAACTACATAGTAATCTAATTGACTACGGACTCATACTGTCAAATGACAAAGGAGAGTCACCCCATAATCCAACAGTCGAATGAATATCAATTGGTTTCGTATCATATGATAGTGTCACAAGTATCTTTGATTGTGTTTCAGTATCCATTTCTTTCTTATAGATAGTCTACGGTCAATGTATATATTTCTAAACATACTCTCCAGTGTATCTTTAAATAATCGTGAACAGTCCAATTAACATAATAGTCATATTTATATGTGTTCTTTTGGACGTTATCAACCAGACTAACAAATCGTTTCCTAAACTCTTTTTTGTGGACTATACGATATCATCAACTCTACTACTACATACCAAATAACTTATCTCCTGTTTGAACACCTTGAGAAACAAATGAATCATTGGGATTTAATATCTCTCGATCATTTAACCATAAGGTATATTCAGTTGAATTTAAAAGTATGTCATTCAGAAGATCTTTGACAAGGCCGTTTTCTAGAATCTCCAGCGACTCCGTAACGCTATTAGATTCCTTAATCACTTCAATACGAATTGTTCGATATTCACAATAATCATACTCTTTAGAACTTACAGCAAAATGGAAAACCTACTTTGCAGATCCATTGACTGATTTATCACACCTCGAAGAATGACAATAGAATTCTTCTTTGTTAGAAAAAGAGAAGTTGAGTAATTCATTTTCTTCGATTCAACTTCCATAATAGAGGTGATAAGAATTTGATTCACAAAAGGGAATGGAGTACG